GGAGCTGCGATGGCCCCGCCGGTATTTGGTTATTCTGACAGTCAGGGAGCTCAGGGGGGGGGTCTCTTAACTCGCCTTGGTGAGTGTTCCTTTGGTTGGGAGTCCTTTTGCTGGTGCTAAACAATGGCACAGCGCACAGCCAGAGACTATGTGAAAAGACACAACAGCGTTCAGGTTTGCTTTTCCGCTAATGCCCCTTTTATTTGTTTCTGTAACGTCTATTCCATAATGAAATTCTGTAGCCAAAACCAAAGCCTTTCTTCAAAAAAAAAAAAAGCACCACGAACACCCACAAAACAAAAACCAACCTGCCAGCAAACTTGGGTTTAAAAATACAACACTGAGGATTGTTAAAATTATTTCCTAGTATCTCCCACACACCTCCTGCCTCGACGAATTGTTCTTTTTTGAAGCACAGACTGCACCACGTTTACAAGAAACACGTGTTGCAAAGTTCTTGACGCATTAGTAAGATCCGCACCAAAATACCACGAGCGTGGATGTTCTGCCAACCTCGGGCAGAGGTAACACGGGCGCTTCCCAGCGGGACGGCGCCGCCGGTCCTGCCCCCTCCGGCACTAGAGTCCTCGTTCCTCTGATCAAATCCCACCTCCTCGTCCCGCCGCTGCTCGCTCGGCGCTTCCCGAGACTTGTCCTCGTCGCTGTCTGTACCGAAAGCTGTGACTCTCCCCAGGATGGATTTCCTACCACTCTCCTCCTAGTTTTAACAGGCTGCAGAAGTGTGTTCCTCAACTGGGAACTCTGACTCCTGGGATAAGGCCTCATTTATGGGAATTTAGCTGCTACCTTGTAAAAAGGCAGCAAACCCCCTTGATTTTAAGTCATATGATTTTATAAAATGTAAGTGAACTGTCCTATGGATATCACAGGGCTAAAGAATTGCTTTTGTGACGTATTCAGGGGCATTATTTTCTTCACTGCCTCCAATTCCTTTACTCTGTGCTTTTGCCATTTATCACTATTGCACAACAAATATTTACAAAAAGAAAACAAAACAAAGTCTTCAGCTACCAAGAAGCCAACGTGGAAAACCATTCCCTACTTGGAAGAGAACCACTTCCAGTTCTTTATTGGAGCTCTCTGGGCTGGGGAAAAAAGAGGAGAGAAGGGCAGGAGATGGCAAAGTCCAGTTTGGTATCGTTTGGTTTGGAAGAGGTAGCACTGGTAGGTGTGGTGCCACGCATATTCCTGGGAAAGGAACATTTCTTCTTTAAAAAAACCCAACCAAAAATAAACAAACCAGGTATTTTACTATGGTCAAGCTTTTCAAATTGCAAAGAAGGCTTCAGTTCTATCAGGAGTTGAACAGGTTTTATGCAGGAAAGGGTTTCCAGCTTCTCAAGAGGGCTGCTCCTTCAGCTTTGCTTCATCTTAAGAGGCAACAAATGTCAAGAACTACTACGAAAGTGCTTCCAGAATTTACAGCCATCAAATCGCTTATTGAAAGCCAGTGTTTCCAGACTCAAGAAATTTACTGACACGAACAAATCCAGACGCTGGACAAGTTAGTTTCAAAATTTCTAAAGTGGATTGCTTAACGCCGTGGGGGTTTTTTTTTCTAACCACGAAGCAGCAACTGGAGACTTGTACCCCGGTGCCTTCTAGCGAAGACCCGGGAGCGTAAATCTGTAACAAACGCATCACGGGGACAGTGTGGGGGTTTTGAAATCGCAGCTTATCTCTTTAGGTATTTAGGACAGAATTCACCAGCAGAAGGTCTGTGCATTCTGCCAGCCGTTGGAGGCGCAAGAAGGGTCAGGCGGGGAACTTCACCCCTGGAACAGCAGCAAAAAAAACCCCGTGTCTTGTACTTAATTCTAAATTTGGTTTCTAATGGAAATGCGGAGAGCATGGCGGGACACCCGACTGGCCAGGGAAGGACAACAGACTTCCGCACTCAACACAATTTCAGGCCTGTGGGCTGTTCTTCAGTTCTGGCACTCGGCAGGATGAACCTCACAGCCTTGGCACAACGTCCCGTGACGACTCGGCAGCTTTCTCTTCGTGGTTCGCCTAAATCTGGTTTGTTTCGACGAGCAAGTCAGCTGTAAAGCTACGCAAAAACATCAAGCAGGCCGGCGTCAAAAACGCCGAGTTTAGAACTAAGTAGTCACTTAACAGCCACCAGCAGAGAGGGAACTGGAAGTAAACTGGTTTATTTGAACTCCAAAGAGGAAACAATTAAAAAGTGAATTTGAAAAAAGTAAATTGATTGTTATTTCCTCGAACGGCACGCACCACCTTCTAAAGTGCTCTGAGAGAGAATCAACCAACAGACAAAACCACCTGAAGCTTCAGGGGGTGTGGAATGTGTTACCACAATGATGCAGAGAATCCTTTAACCAAAAAATCTCAAGCTAAATGGGGCTTTTTGCAACAAACACGCACTGAGGAAAAGATCCCTCTTTTAGGACTGTTCTGTCACTGACGGGGACAGAAGAACTTAGTTTTCTTCATCCGAAGAAAGACCTTCGATTTCATCTCTGTCTCCTCCAATTGCCATCCAGAACGCTTTGGCCACCTGACAATGGGGGAAATAAAAAAAGAGGGGGGGAAGGGGAAGGGAGAGAAGTTTCCCTGAAATGACTGAAGATTTTACATTTACCATCCAAACAAACAGAAACGGAGCAGCAGCTAAACCGAGCAACCACATTGCTAAGTATAATGCTAATCCCTCTTTGAAGTGAAGAAATTTCGACAGCACAGAGGCGATAATTTAGAATGCACGGGAGGCATGTGACACAAAACTTGGGCTAATTAAGGCGTGAATAAATTCTCCTTGAGATCAAGGCTTTTCCATTTCCTTAAGTGGAAGCTGGCTCACGCCCGCAGGACTGCAGGGTCTTCCTTTCAGAGATTCTGAGAGGAGAACGTTTTTTCTGGCACTTCAAAATCCCAGTTTTGTTATTCAGTTCTTGGGAGACACGGGAGAGTCTGCCCCAGGACCGCACGGTTCGTTCTTAACACACGGACTCAGACAGGAAAGCCCAATTTTTAATAAATTCAGTGCCAACTTGGAATCCTCACCTTCTCAGCGTGTAGTTTTCTTTGCTCGTGAGGCAACGTTGCAGCTTTATCTGCGGGAAAGAACACGACTTAGGTCGTCAGCTCCAGGAGTGAGCAGGGAAACGCCTGCTGCAGCTCGTTTTAGGGCACTACCAAGAAACTAGTTTAAGATCCTACACATGGAAGCTTATTTAATGAGAGCAATCGCAATTCCCAAACCCCAGAAAGCAGCTGCTTCTAAGCACATGGGATTTCAGGTCAAACATTTGTGGCTTTAAACTGCAAGACAGGCACAAGGCTGTAGAGCTAAAAAACAGAAAGAAGTCTTGCTGTAAGTTTGGTTATAGAAAATAGTAGCATTAGTTCTCGATGGACAAAACCAGCGTGACGGCAGTCAGCTGAGCAGTAGTAACCGCTCCCAAGTGCACTGTCAAGCTGAAGGGCAAATGAAAAGATCAGCCACTTGTTAAAAAAAAAAGAGGAGGCAGGAGAAATTGGTGCCATCTTCCCAGCTCACACACGTTACCTTTCATTTCTTTCAGCTTTGAAAACAGCCTCTCGAAGTTCTCCAGGTCCCCGTCCCTCGTGGTGAGGCTGGCCAACTCCTGGATGTCCGTATCTAACGTGGGATTCGAAATACATGCACTTAGGTTGGGTCAAGGTAAATGACTTGGTTTTGTCAGCAGGTACGAAAGCCTGTCTGATAAAGGCAGTATTTTAACACATGCCAAGTCCCCCCGTCAAAGGAGGGAAGGAAACATTTAATTTATGAACTGCTCACACAGACAACTCAGGGTAATTAATTTCGATGCAGTATGTTGCAAGAGTGGTGCTGAGTTCATCCAATAGTTAAGGTTTCTTGCTTATTATAAAATGATCTGTCCAGGAATAGCCATGGAGTAATGAGGCTACGCTTCAAGCACAACTACCAGCACCCAACCTTTCAGAGAGCTCCACATACCACTCGTACAAAGTCCCATCTCCTGGAATTATTGAAGGACCTGCAGCTTAGAACACCTGAACCCCCGAGGAGTGACCCAAGCAGAGTGTGCTCCATTCAGCTCCTGCTGGCTCCTACTGTCATCGTTTCCCTTGGCACTTTATTCTCACATAGATGTTTTAGATAATACACAATACCCGCATAAGGGAGTTTCCTCACATCAGCTCTGCGTGTTTCCAGTTGGCAGCGCTGTGGGGGCCCTGTCCTGTCCAGACTTGGGGCCATTTTTTTCAAGAAGTCTAAACCATCACCATCGGCTGGCTCTGGCCTGCACACTGGTGCCACCATTCTCTGGGAACATCCCAGTCAGCAGCGCCCGCGCCAAGACCTTACCTACAGCGTCGTCAGCCTGCAGGCTGTTTGTGCCGGCTCCTCCGTCATCCAAATGGGGTTCTTCTCTGTCTGCTGCTGCTGGATCGGGCTGTCAGGAAACAAACAGGGATTAGGGTGTTCAGTCACGCACTGGAACAGTGGCCTTGATGACCCTGAAGGTCTTTTCCAACCATAATGATTCTATGATTCTAACAACTGGCTCAGGAGGACTGGTAAGAAAAATGCAGGTAGTTTCTCAGCCTTCAGAAATACTCCCTTTCAAATACATTCCAAGAGGGTGTAAAGCATCTCTTGAGAAAGAAGGGGGAAAAAAAAAAAGGCCCCAACCACCCAGCACACCAAGCGAGACAACAGGAAAGAGGGACATGAGAAATGGTGTGAGCGAAGAACAAGAAATAGGAATTACTGTTTACTTCTGTATCTCGGCTCTCTTCTGCCCCAATGCTACAGTTCGCACCTGCCAACGTGCTGAGAAGCCCAAAGCCCTGGGTCCTGTCTGAAAACAAAAGAGCTGTTAGTTAGGCAGAAGGGGCAGCATTAATACCAAGAGCTGGAGCTCACCAGGTGGGATTGCGACTGTTTCAGGGAAGACACGCAGCACCTTGTGTCAGTGCACTTGAAAATACAATTTTCAACTGAGATTTTTCCATATTCTCTAAACTTCTTTTAAATGACACTAAGAATATCTACTGTTAAATATTACCAACAGGGAATAGATGTGTAAGCCACGAGAGATGGGAGCTCTTTTTTCTTATTATTTGAAGTTGCTGCTCTGTTGGGATTTGGTCTGACAAACACCTTTTGATGCCAAACCTGTGAGTTTTCAAAATTCCGAAGTGGCTTTTGCTATTACTGACATGCCGCAGAGCTGGTGTTACCGACCTCGGTTTGTGGCTCGATACGGGAATGGCAACGAGTGCCTTTGCTTATGCCTGAACAGGCTGAGCGCTACAGGAATGGCAAAGGCAATTTTTAAATCTCTAGTTCAGAATTCATGGAAGGCCTCAGCCATCAGATCTGCCCTTGCTCCACACAGCAAGAGGCTTTGGGCTTCCACACCTGCTCCTCTACTGTGTACGTCAACAGTATTTTAAAATACTGCCTGAAAAAAACCTGAAGTCATTCAAACCTAAAACTGAACAATCTTAAGATAATAGATACAGTACAGTATTTTTAAACTAAACTAACTGAAATTTTAAAATGCTATGGTTTAAATAAAAATTTAAGCATAATAGGTGATAGCATGAGGTGGTTTTGTGTTTTTTTTTCTAAGCCATGTTTTCAGCTGGCCTTGCACTGAGTAGTAAGTATCTGCAGATACAGGAGGGTCTCATGAGATTTTTCTGAAAACTTCAGCATTTTAGTCAACTGAAAAAGACGTAACGTTAAATTATTGTACTACAAATAGCCAGAAAACAATGACCCAGGCCAGAAGAAAGATTAGGATTACCTTTTTTCTTTTCTTTTACATGTTTTAAATGAATATCACACAAATTACTAAGCTCCGGACTCAAATGTTATGATGTCGTTCTTATTATGCACTGTCCAAACTTGATTTGCCATTTATACAAAATTTCATGTCGTGGAGCCGAGTGTGTAATTACCAAACCCATCAGCTATCTGGAAAAACCAGTAAACACATCCGCATTACAGATTTTAGTAATTCTCCAATTACTAAGACCTTTTTCTGTTCAATAATCTTCCCTGTGTACTTACGCTAACACGTGCCCTGTACCCTTGGGCTCCCCCCGCCCCCAGCAGGTATTTGTTGCAACTGGCTCAGTTTTTACACGGTTTTACTGCTTTAACGGGTCACTCGCCAAAGGTTTGGGAAGAGGAGAAGCGGTCCAGCCAGATGAATTTGCTTTCAAACTGTTCAGCTGCGAGACGCGTGAAAGCCCGCACGGACCGCCAGCTCAGTCGACGGGCAACGGAGCGATAAAAAGATTTGGAGACTCGTGAGCCCGAACAAAGGCGCTTCCTCACGTTTCAGCTGGCTGAGCAAAGAGCTGGCTTTGGGGAAACTCTAACGATGGACGTTCAGCCAATTTCTGAGTCACCTGAAGCCAGCTTGGATGTTGCAGCCCAGAATGTACTTGAGAGAGAACGTTCCTGCACTGGCAGAGGGGTGGGCGAAGTGACCTAATCCCACACCTCTTCCACATCTGCCATGAGAGCTCATTCTGCACCGAAAAATGACCACGGCTCCTTCCCCACCACATACCCATAACCTCAGCTGGTGTAATTACAAAACTTTGTCCCAGTGAGAAAGAACCAGAACCTACAGGAGGGCTCTCTGAGGAGCAGCTCTTTGTTTCCGGAGCCGTGGTTCGGGAGGCAGCAGACACAACCCTTGTTGCAGGCACGCCCTTGAAAAAGCCTTCCTCTAACCTTTTTTTTTTATTGGATGCCAAAGTTATTTCAACTTCTGGGTGCAATTCAGGAACTGGGTGATGCCTTACACAGCGTTCTTACAGCGGCGAAGCCAAAAATGACCTCACTCAACTTATTGTAACTTCAGTGGCTCCATTGTGAGGGGGGGTCTAGAGTTTCACAGGCATCACTGATCAACAGTGCGCCGTGCCCTGAGCTTCACGATTCACGTGTGCTCCTTTCCCAGCGAAATGTTTTCTACTGTATTTATTTACTATTCCTCCACAGCCTGGCTCTAGCTGGCATGTGCCAATCCTGACTGCTACACAAAACTGGAATTAAAAAGGCAAACATCATCATTTGTTTAAGTAAGTTTCAACAGCCCTCCCCTATCTCAGGTTCATTTTTTTTTTTGTCAAGAGAGCCAGGCTGATTACTGGCCCCACCCCAGGGAAGCAGCTTCAGCTGGGATCCCCAAAGCAGGTATTTAAGCAGGAAAGCGGGCTGGGAACCACTTTTAAAGAGGAGCAAGTTGTTTCTGGTTTTGCCACCCAGGTCAATGAGCTTCGTTCTTGAAGGGACAGCTGGGGACAACGGCGGTGCCCTACCTTTGGGCAGTGGGAAGGTGTGAGCTGAAGAGCTGCTTGTGCTGTTCTGCATAAGAGGAAGAAGATCACTTGATTTTCAGGCTGAAGAGAGCTCTGAGGCCTGGAGAACCAACAACTCTGCACCAGCTGCAAAAGGGGAGTTGCCTTCTGGAGGCTCTCGGGTAAGGCTGTTTGGTTTTCTTTCAGTACAGACAAAACTGCTTTATCTGCTCATGAAGCACGTGGTACTGCTTGATGTAAAAATGCTTATAATTCCACTGTTCCATTTAACTTCCCTTTTTATGAACTGGTGTGAGACTGAATTTATTTAACGGTTAGAGAAGAAAAATCGAAAGAATTTTCTTAATAGGTGTGTGAAAAAACTACTTTCCCACTTAGGAGTTGTGTTTGGGTTCAAGATAAAGCACCTTAAAATAATATGAGTTTAATGCTCGTACTTGAAAAAAGACTGCTCTGTCTGTAAACTGAAGTTACTCCTACAGATAGCTGAAGTAAGGCGATGCTGTAACACCAGCTTTTTGGGTGACTACGCTTAATAAAGCTGGAAACATTTACTGTTGCACATATATCTTTTACTCTATGAAAAGTCTTCACATGAATTATGACCGCGTGCTCATACAAGCGGCCAGCAGTTACAGGCAATTCAGTAGGAAAGCTAAAGGTTGACTTGCCTGGCAGCCAGTTTCCAGCATTGGGAGGAAACTGAAGACAAAAGAAATGCTCCAGTTTGTAAAAAGTTTTATTTTAAGTAAAATGAGCTCAACGATTTCCCTTTGAAGGCACAGTCAGACTGCAACAACTTCCAAATATAGCTCGCTTCCTGAGGGGTCTGTAGTACTGTGCATCAATGCTGGGTGGTTTCTGTACTGTGGAGACAGAAAATCTGGATTTTCAAGGAGTCTGACCTTTACTGAACGCACTAATGATGCACAGGAATTTCCCCCCCCGTGAAGAACTGAACACGTGACTCGGTTCTGTCCCTCAGCAACACAGCATCTGTCAAATGCAGGAAATAAGCTGTTAAACCCCAACGTTTTAGCACTAGTGAGAGAACTTTACACCATCTCGGATGGCTGCCTATTTCTCTGCAACAGTTACAGCAAGCGAGAACGCACCTTAACCTCATTCTGATATGGTGTAAGAAATACTCAGAAGGAGCCCTTAAAAAATTTAAAAAATATACAAATTATCGGTTTAGTAGTTCTCTGCCTCGTTCTACTGAGTCCCTAGAACAATCTTGCAGTTACGGGACCTAGCAGAAGCCTCTGAGCACTTGAAACCATTACATAGTTAAAAGACATAGGAAGGAAGAAGCTGCAAGAGTGGAAAATTGCTCACCAGGGAGCAGATAGGTGCTGGGAGGTTGCTAGTGGGATGAGACTCCGTGCAACAAGAAATGTAAGGCCAAGCGCTCCCCGAGAGTTTCATCTTCCTACATTTCCTGCAAGAGCTTGCGTTATTAGAGAGGTAATTAAAGGTTTTCAAGTAAATGGAAGGAGCTACCCTTGTAACTCTGGGCTAGCCACAGCATTTCCTTTCCTAATGAGTCTAATCCTCAAGTCATCCAGCCCTCAGACTCTACCCGTTAATCAATTACCTGCAGGAGATGACCTGAGGTTGCCTGCTTTCTGCACCATTTCCAAAAATTCTGTGGTTTCCACGGACTCAAGTGGGGTTTTCTGTAGGGCAGTCAGTCCTCCTTGCAATGCACTTAGTGTGTCCTTCAACAGACATCTGAAATCACTTTTCTGCCAAATCTCATCCCTGCACTTGCTATTCTCATCTCTGGTTCCAAACTATTTTTCTTTCAGAAAGCTATAACAAATTTTTAATTTAATCCTTACCACTTCTATACTAAACCATGTATCAGGTTTTAGACCAAGCCAATACCAATTAGCTATTTGCTGCTAGAGTTTGGTGGAACAAGCTTTCATTTCTTTTCATTAGAACTTAGTGGAATATTTACCTCAGACTTGGTAGAGAGCAAGTTGAAGTACAGAGGGAACAGGACCACGTGCTGAAACAGAAATAAATCTCACCCATTGCTTATAAGTTCCTTCATGCATGAAGGGACAACGAAAGCAATACCTAAACCCTACTATTGTGTGTAAAGGTTGAGGAGTGCTCTAGTTCTCTGCATGCTGATGCAGTGGCAGGAGCACTGTAGCCGCTCCGAGCTTTTTAGCCGCTCAGATTAAATTTTTGCTAAAAACGTGAAGCCCTCTAGGCCTTGCGTTCCCCGAAATTCGTACGGGAGGCCCCCGGGTTACGTACCGTTTTTTACTACGTTGGACCACACGTTGGCGTTCAAGGCTTGTACAATTCGTTTCACTCCTGTGGACTCTGGAAAATCATCTAAACCAAAAGACAAAAGACACTGTTCTCCCAGCCATCACACCGAAAACCTTTGCCTGCCTGTGAGCGAGCAGCTGTGTGCCTCAGTGCCTGTCCTGCCTTCAGCAATGCACAGAAATTGCTCCTTTTGATAGGAACTCCAGCTTTCTTGCTTTTGCTTCAGGAAAGGCCAAAAAAAATCTCAGTTAATGCCTCACTTCTTGGTCTAAGCTTCCAAGTATCGTGACCTGTGAGCTCTCAGCCTTTTGTAGAGACATCTGCAGTTTTTTTGCTAAATATTTAGCATGAGGTGTACTCTGGTAAATAACAGAAGAGTAAATTTAAGAGTAATAGATGATTTTTAAGTTGCTGTTAAAAGAAAGGTGTCTTTTACCCCAAGATCTTTGAGAATGCTGTGTGGCTTAAAAGGAGATGCTGGGATTACTTTTCCTTCCTTTAGAAAGTAAAGAACTTCAGACAACCATTTAAAAAAAGGTGTGACACTTGTTAAAATTGAAAATTATCATTGTAAAGCTGTGTCCACAGCACCTAACTCCAAATGTTCCAGTAATCCTGTGAAGTACAGCAACTTGAAAGACTACCCAAAGCGTTGTTTGGACTTCAGGTTATTTACTGAATAGATCTGACACCACTTGGTATAAAGTCAGTTTTCCCACTTCCTCAGTTTAGTCAGCTTCCCATGTTTGTGCAGTTCTCACAAAGCAATACGAGGGGAAAAAAACAACCCTTTGGATACAAAAATGGGCTGGCTTAAAAATCAGGGATGACTCAGGGACAGGTGCAGTAATTGAAACAGCTTTTAAAAATGAATTTAAAGGTGTCTGTGACCCCTCGGATCAAGCATTTTTGCCCTCTACGAAGCTGCTGTTTGGTCTCGTACCGGAGTCATTATCAGGAGCTGCAGTCATAGCACGAGCTCTGGGTCATTTGTGATGAGCTGCCAGAAGTGTTGTAATTTTTAAACTGATACTGCACTAGTAGGTTTACTGCATCCACTTTACTTTTTGAAAATAACTCATACAGAATGCTTAGGGGGTGAATATGTTACTGGAATAACTTTCCTCCTACGCAGGAGTCACCATATTAAAAATGCAGGAAAGAATATGTATCTTAAGATATATGTGCCAAAGATTAAAATCCTGAGTTATCATTCCCATTGCTTATATTATTTAAATAGTAAATAGTTTGTTCTTTGCAACAATTATTCAATAGGAAAAGAAAGCTTGACTTAATGTTACTAGTATTTCCTTTTAAAGCAGTTCCTAAGAAAACTTAAAGGGGTACCCGTTTCATATTTTTCTGGTCACTGAAATCACAAATGTGTGTATCCCTGGTTCCCTGACTAACAAAGTGCCAAAAAATAAATATATCTTTAAAGACGTGGCAGGGGGAAGAGGAGGGCTCTTACCTAATCAAGATACAATTTTAATCTAGGCTTTTGAAAAGGATGGGGGTGAGAAACTTGAGTTCTAGCTTAGAAAACCCCTCTCTGTAGATTGTTATTTTTAGTGAGAGCTACGTACTTGGGGAGCCTCAAATAATGCAAATGTTGGTGACTGATTTCGCTCAAGCCTGGAAGCGCAGTCGGTTATCTCATTTTGGCTCTACAGAGGAATGATGTGAATGCTTTTTTGGTTTTGTATCACTGAAATGAGGTGATCAGGCCGATGCTGAGAAGGCTGCCAGGAAATGCACAGTCACTTGTCAAGAGTGGAACGTGACACTTCTGACTTTGCTTGATGGGTATTTTCAAGTCATGGGCAGCCACTGATTTTGAAACTGGTTTGTTTCCTGTGTAACAGTGGGTGCTATTCTGAAAGGCTTTTAATAATCTCCCCTTTTGAGCCTATCATAACACCATTTGAACAATGTCTGTATTCTCTGGGTATGGATGATAGTTTTTAAAGGTTTGAGGTTGTTTTTTTTTAAAGAAAAGACAAAAAGTGTTCCTGCCCATGTGCATTTCTGGCTTTTGTTTTTTAGATTTATTTCCAAAGTGGAATATAAACGCTTTTAATCTATCACTACAGTTCTAGGATTAGAGCCAGAAAAAGGAGCAGATATTATTTTTATGTAGGTGCTACACAAACAGCAGCTGTATTTGGGAGGAGACAAATGGAATTCTCAGAGGAAATAACCTCCTCCTCTTCCTGACCTTTTACAGCTGAGGCTAAGCCACACCAACTGGGAGCATTCCATGCTGCAATCACACAGCACATAAAGGTATGTCCCTTACAATTGTTTAGAAGATATTTTGGTGCCCTTTTTCATTTGAAAAATTAAAACAGAAGTAGCAGTCCTACCATCTTCATCAGGCAGTTCCTCTGGGTTAAGTTCTACCAGTTCAAAGCCATGCTTGATGCACCATTCTTGAGCTTTCTGTCTGTTAACACCTAAAGTTGAGAAACAAAAATGTGTCCTAGTTAGGTTGAGACTCATATCAGTGCTCAAATCTTTAGCTACATGTTATTTCCTTAAAGTTGTTTGCTTATTTTGGATTGTACAGGGAAAAAGTCTATAATATCTGGCGTGGGTCCTCCATTTGCTTTGAATTTGATTCCAAAAACTCCAGACTTGAACAACAAACTCCTTTGAGTTGCGTGGGGTTTGTTTCAAAAAGCTGTGGGCGCTCAGAAGTAAAACGGAAGTGAAGTGCCACAGTGAGTGAAGTCTTCTGTTAACTCTAGGTTTGAATCTGAATTAAGTCACAGGGACATACCTGCACCTTACAGCCTGCTGTGGGGTTGCACATGCTGATCTAGAACCAAAGCAAATGTGCCTGTTTCATATCCAAATGGCCCAAAAAGAGGAATGTATTTTGCACTGTAGTTAAGCAACCAACAGCCATCTTCATTTCTCACCGGAGGGGATCATGCACATCCAGTACCATAAATGCCTTTTCAGTTACCTTGCCATACACGCTGGGGCACTAGGGATGGGATATGCAGAGCATATTTGAAGCGAGCTTGTAAAATTCTGGTTCGGTTTTAACCACAATTAGCTTAAGAATTCCATTCCTGGTCACGAGAGTAACCTGGCTCTTCTCAATCAAACCTCAAGCCCAGTCTCACAGAGGTATTTTGAGAACCAGTTGTGTTGACTCAACTAGAAAATAAATTCTCCTGCCAGGCTAATAACCCAAAGTCAGTGTGGAACTTCTTGGGGTTTCATACCATTTTCAGATACTCTGTTACAAACCAGGATCATGACTTCTGGTAACCACTCTTCTGTGAGGGGGAGCCATTCAGAGACGCTGTCAAGTCCAGTTTTCTAAAGGAGAGAAAAAAAGTTCTTTGGAATATATCCTCAAATGCTTTAGTTTTTAAATTAGTCTTAAATCATTAATAGTTTTAGAAAAAAATCAAGTATGGAAATGTGTTAAGCTACATTATCAAAGATATTCAAGACACTTGTGTTCTAATTGGAAAAGCTGGCTTCTGCACAGTGTCTACTGATTCTTGACTTAATTTACTTACTTACAGAGTTAATCCTACTTCCTTGGACCTCCCTTTCATATTTAATATTAATTAAGCAATCCCAGTGCAGATTAGGAAAGACTTTTAGTTAAGGGTGCTCATAAATACTTCACTTGAAACATATCTTGGGTTTAATGTGCAGCTCCTTCATCTCCTGTGCTGATGTGGATGTTATGGGGGCTGGTGAGCTGCTCTCACTGCTCTCGTTTATTCTGAGACAGCCCCGAGACGTCTGCTGAAAGGTATCTTTGCAGAATGTGTGGTACGCACCCCTTCCCATCTGTGGTGAAAACCAATTCCTTATTTAGATTTTTTTTTTTTTTTTTTGGTCTCAATCTTTCTGACTTTTGCTAAAGCACTGTTTTGACTCAGTAGAAACAGTTTTGGGTAAAGTGATGACACCAAATCTTACATTTAGCTCCCTCATTCTTGGCTATCCTAAAGCAGTCCTAGCATCAGCTAGGACTGAAGTTGGAGCTGGTGGGCTGGAGCAGGATTTGCATCCTGAAAAACTCTCTTCCAGCTTGAGTATAATACTAAAAGGGAAGGAAACTGTTTCTGTTGTTAGCAGGCATACTCCTGCTGCTGAAAATTAACAGCAAAAATAATGGACGGCACAAGATAAAGAGAATATGATTTGTGTTTATCACCATGATAAGGCAACTATATTATATAGATAAAGCAGAAGAGTCTTACTATTGTGCTGTCGAAGTACACAACAAATGCTTGGACCGATTCAGCAATATCTCCAGTAACAAGAAAGGTGTTTGGCACTACACAGAGGTGAATATCTGCAGAATAATATTTATTATCTATCGTCCAGGGGTAAAAATTCACTCTTCCACTTGTAACTGCACCCACAGTAAGGTCATCTTTTCCTGTGATACCTGTATAAAAGAAAGTGAATGAGATGGATCATAAAACCAGCATCAAGAAAAGAATTTCTCTAGACAAGCTTGGTACAATGCCAATACAGTATCATCTTTAGTTACTATAATAAAACAGTGTATATTTAAGTTCAGACTCAATTTGCTATTCTGTTCTGGAGTTCATTATTTAGCTTTCAAGAGAGTTTTGTGGGCTTTTTTTAAAGACTTTATTTTCTAGCTTTTGAAAAATATACAGAACAGAAGCTCTTCAGAAAGCAAGCCTTTTTTTTTACCTGGAAATGCCTTTTAAAGTGTTAGTCTCACTCTCTACCTGTAAGCAGCGTGTATGGAGACAATATATAGACTTTATTAAAGCAGAAACAAACCTTGTGTGTTTGGTCAGTTGTAAAGAACAGTTTGACTGTGACCAAAACCTGAAGGTAACTAACGAGAGAGAATAAACCAAGTTACCACAATCTGGTTGTAATTCCCATTAAATTCCATGTAGGGGTTCAACAATTAAAACCCAAGGCAGTGCTTTGATAATGAGATGTTAAACACTGCCCTTCGTGTGCTGGTAGTAACCTTCCCAGGGCACGCTCTCATTACGTGACAGCCACCTCGGGGAGTCGAATTACTTGTTGGGAGGGGGACATCCCATCCAAACCTCGCTGGAAAGGGCAGAATACCTTGTTCAAGCTGGACAAATCTACAGGCACTTTAAAACACAGGGCAATTATACATAATATTTGATTTGAGTCATCTAGAATTTCCTTGGGCGTCAGAAAAGTCAAAAAAAAAAGTACCTTATAGGGGTTTTCAAAGATATTAAAGGTCATATTTTAAAGGTACTGAGAAATGGTTTCTGGAGATGCTTGACCAGGCTGCTCCCTGAATAGTCTGGACATGAATTTGAAGTTATCTGTATCTTACCGATAAAAAGGTGGGAAAACCCCACTGCCCAGGTCGTCATAGGAAAGTTCCAATGATTTTTGCAGCTACCTGCCAAGTCTGAGAAGTCTAAGTGGGGAGTGAGCGCGGTGCAAAAGGCAGCACGGGGAGAACTCTAAACCAGAAGGATTATTTGCAGCAGTAAGGAGGACACGGGGAACCTGAGGGAGAAACTTGACCTCGGAAACAGAAACCTGGGAGGGAAGCTCCTGTCTGGGTTTATTTAAAAGAAAAAAAAAAAAAGCCCCATCTACACATTTTTTCCAGGTTAAGAAAGTTTGACTTTAATTTGGCTGAGACTAGTTCCCAGAGTAACTGGTCTCCGGTCTGAAGCTGTTCTGTGGTAAGACTATTACCTTGGGGCGGGAGGATGATGATACTGAGTCAATACCAAACCAACCTGGATGCTGAACGTTGTTTTCTTAGCTATTCTAGCTTCATAGAAATGTTGAAGGGACTACCAACACAGCCAAAAAAAAAATCACTACTCTCTAAAGCCTGTCCTCCTTTCACAGCTTTTTAAGTCACTCTTGAGCAGCTACATCAATATAACAATTCTAACCTTCCTCAAAAAAAACAACCAAACCCAACCCCCCTAAGTAATTAGTTTGAGCAGCTACATCAATATAACAATTCTAACTTTCCTCAAAAAAAAACCAAACCCAACCCCCCTAAGTAAAACGCAGATCATCAAATGACAGTACGTTGCTTTTCAAAATGTACAGTTTTGATGTATCTACTCAATGATGAAGAAGGTATTTTGGTAGCTGACTTTTTGTTTCACTGCTATAAAACAGGAGCTGATTAAGTTCTGTACGTGGTATAATTTAGTCTGATATATTTGGTAAACAGGGCTGCCCTTACTATCTGCCGATTGCTGAGCAGTTTGCTTTACATGGATATTGGGGCCAATCTGTTCTGCCTGGATATAATGTGACAAAATTTCAGCAACTACCAAACAGGTTCATGATGTCACTGTGCATGTCCAAAATGCAGTAATGCCTTTTTTTTTTTTTCCCCCCTAGAATTATCTGTTGTCTAGTGTTTCAAATGCAGACATAATCTTAATTTTCTGCCCTGGAAATCAGGTATTCTCTTTGGAGGTTTTGAATGCTACATAAAGTAGACTCGAAGTTTCCCTTCACTGGTGTTTTGACAGTTAAAAATAACTAAATAAAAACCAATTTTAAGCTAGCAGAATTGCAAGTCAGTGCCACAAGAAGCTGAGAATAAATAAGCCCATAGAAATTGCTGAAACCCAGAAAATCAGCAATAAGGCTCAGAAAGCCAAAGGGACGAAAACGGGGTGAGGAAGGGAAGTCAGTTCAAAAGTCACTTCAGTCAAGTCAGCCACCCTAGCAAGAATACAAAAGGAAAGAACTTCTTATAAAAGATTTTTCAAAAGCTCGTATGAAAGAAATTTTACACTTGCTTTGTAAGTGATTTTTTTTTATTATTTCTTACAAAAGAGTTCATGGACAAATTTAGGCCTCAAAGTGCTGCTGGAAGAATGAAGACATGTCCCATTTCTTATTACATGCTACTTGTTCCTATATTCTAAGCAGTTCTTCTTTCATCCCATTGTGCTTCTGATTACCCGTCGTTCATCCAAAGAGATTTTGCCAATCCCCTGTGAAATTTCTCCCCCAGTAAAAATGGACGTTACACACTAACCTCAAAGGGCTGCCGGAACTTTCTGAAAGGGTTCGGACTTGCTATGTCTCAGCCTGCATGTAGGGTTGTAACGAATTACTGCAAAAACAGCCTGATTACTCATGGCAGGAAACAAAATGCAGTTTGGGGATGGTGTGAATAGTTTTTGTCCACAAAAGTCACTTAGACCAATTAGGTTTAGAGTAAATAAGCAGAGACCACAAAAGGAACAGACACTGCAACTCAAACGGAGTTTTCAATGATATATTCCACGTTGGGCCGAGTTTTAAGGATTATTTTTGCCACTTCTGGATTCCAGAAATTTCCTTCCAAGGCAGCTTGTATTTTAATGAAAAAAGTAAACTTGGCCAAAGTAGTTTCATATCTCATTTAGACGATGTTCATCAGAACAAAGTTTTGTTTGGAATTAGTGTGGCAAAAGGAGGTGGCTCGTCAAACTTCTCTCTCGCGAGTTACTCATTTTTAATTTTAAACTCGTCAGCCATTGAAAGTGTCGGTGGTTTGCCATGCAAAGAGTCTGGAAAACCAACTGAGTCACTTTTTGACCACAACAGTAGGCAGGCCTGCTGGGCTGACTTCATGAGCTCGCCTCTTCATAGAGCAGAAGTGGCTTGTTGGGATGACAGGAATGCACACGGCCTCCACATGCATCACCATTAAAGAGTACCAAAACCGTGCACGGAAAGTTCATGCTGCAAAAGAACATCCCTTGGTGTCATTCAAACCCAGGAGTTAGAGCTCAAGGGCTCTCAGAAATGCTGCCAACCAGTAATGCTGGGCACTTATCTTCAGTAGCTTTTACAGTCTTACCCAAAACTGCTGAAATCGAATTAGGGCATAATGTATTTCTCTGTCCAGCAGTTCTGTATAAAAACACTCTGGGGCAATAGAAGCTGCTTCATGTACAGTGAATTATGCGAGGCTGGGGACCACACAGACCGATCCGGAGGCAGCTCCGGTATCACCCTCGGGTCACTGCCTCCTGCACACACGGGCACTGTTCACCTGGGCAACCTCCGAAGCCCCAGTACTAATGTCCACCCCCACTAAGATCACCGCATTCGTTAGAGACAATTATCTTCCTCCAGGTCAGCCCAGTTCAGGACTTGGGTTGCCTGTTTTCTACCAGAAAACTAGGTAAGAACACAAGAGCAGCTGACACACGGGATCAGTTCATGGCTTGATCCAGTAACTGGTGTCAGATAGCTCAACGAACTTCCAGACTTCTGTGGAATCTGCCCAGAGAAAAAGGGGTTTTTTCACTTTCAGGCAGCTCCTTAGTAGCTTATGGCTTTCAGCACATTCATGAGATGTGTCCTTTCTTTACAAGTATCTATATTTTTTTCTAATAAATTGCACAAGAATCTGACCAATACTTTCAGAAAATAATTTCTGCTATCTGCTTACATGAACGTTACTTCATTTTACCAATGTAGATTTCTTGATTTCTAACTTCATGAGCCTGCATAAGGTAAATTAAACAGTGGTTCAGAAGACAAGAGGACATTACAAAACTGCAAAACCTAACATCCATTCCCTTTTTGTAATACCGAGTAAGTATTCTCTAAATGCGAGGCAGCAAATACTTTTTTTCAAAAGCAGATCTAAGACCAGAAATAACTTTTCTTAAAAGAGATGAATAATATCAGAGAACCAGATGTAGATCTCTGGCTGCTTGCAGCAGTGCTCCTTGTTTTCTAAAACCTAAAGGATATTTAAGCACTTCTACTAAACTGTGTGTTTAATAGTAGTATTTTTTTTCAGAATCACTACAACTCCTCTTTGCAGTTTTGCGTGTTTGTGTTTGATTTTTTTTTTTCCAGAGGGAAGGATCAAGGTATTGCTCGTTCTTCGCAGCGATTTTCAGATTTGCTACAAGAAAATAATTCAGTTTTCTGCAACGCCCGAAAGGATCTCGAGTCCTCTTGGTAGGTAAGCCAAGTAGTCCTCACATTCTGGGCCTTGAGAGCCACCTGGTGGAATACACCATAAAAAAATACTCCTGCAAACTGCACAAGGAGTAAAGAACTCTGAAATATGCTGTGGGGAAGGAAGGTAGCAGTAAACAGTCAAAAAATAGAAATAAATCACATTGTACAGCATTTAGCTGTTGGCCACCATTTTTTACAAGTAAAGCAATCTTATTTGTCGTTTTAATTTGTGATAAATAAAAGAGAAATGCCTATCTTATGCTGTGCACTTTAAATAGCTTTGTTTCGCCACGGTATCTGATGAAATAAAGCATACAAGGTACACCACAGAAACTTGAAAGAATAAAAATATATCCAGCAAATGTACCATAATCTTCTCATCCTCACGCTATTTCTGTCTTAACAGGGTGAAAACTCTGTGATACAAAGGAGGAACCTAAAATTCAGTAAATTATCATGTTT